TTAACCCTAACCCCAAAACCTGCTACCCTAAACCCTCAGTTCAAAGCCCCCGAAGCCAGAAACAAAAACCTAAATATAGCTTCGCGACTCTGAAAGCCGGCGTGGGCATGGGTGGAATCCGCATGGAACGAAGCCTCGACGGAAAGGATTCGTTGCACCCTAAGCCCTAAACCCTCAACNNACCCTAAGCTCTAAGCCCTAAGCTCTAAACCCTAAACCCTAAACTAAACCCTAAACCCTAAACCTCTACGCCCTAAACCCTAAAGTAGGGCTTAGGGTTTGGAGTTTTGGAGTCTAGGGCTTTAGGGGGCTTTAGGGCTTTAGAGTTTAGGGTTTCGGGTCCCAAAACCTGCCGTTTTAGGGGCTCTACCCTCGAACTAAGGGGTCATAACCTACTATTTCTGTAGGGTTTGGGGATCACAGGTCGGGTCTAGGATTCCAAAAAATGGGGATTTAGTTGTCCTCTTCAGGTTGTATAAGGTACCACAAATCCGCCCCTAGAACCCAACCCGGTTTCGAGGGATCTCTGGAGAACTTTGGGACCTGGAAAAAGCCGGTTTAGGGTTTAGGGTTTAGAATTTTCGTGTTCACCTTGCTCAAAGGCTCCACATACCCTTTTGATGGGCTTCGCCTTGCTGAAAGGGTTCAGATACCATTCTCATTGTATTGGGCTCTCACCTAAACCCTAAACCCTAAGCCCTAAACCCAAGGGGTCTCCCTAATACTACCTCGCACCTACTATTCGGGTATTTTGGACCCCTGGGGTGGTAATACTTAGACTTAGACCCTTGGGGGTGTTCTTTGACGGTTTAGGGTTACCCCCCAAACCCTAAACCCCTGAACCCAAAACCCAAAACCCTCAAACCCTAAAGCCCTAATCAAACCCTTTCTAACCCTTTTCGCCCTAAAACCCGAAAGCCCAAAACCCTAAAACCTTAATGCCCTGATCATACCCTAAAGCCCTAAAACCCTAAAGCCCAAAGCCCTAAACCCCTAAAGCCCTAATCAAACCCTAAATCCTAAAACCCTAAAGCCCAAAACCCTACTAAAGCCCAAAACCCAAAACCCTAAACTGGCCTGAAAATTCCCTCTGCAGGGCTTTGGGTAGGAGCTTCACGATGTCAGGCGGGGCTCAGGGCTTGCTAGGATGTGCAGGGTTTAGGGGTTTGGGGTTTAGCGGTTTAGGGTTTTAGGGTTTTAGGGTTTTAGGGTTTTAGGGTTTTAGGGTTTTAGGGTTTTAGGGTTTAGGGTCAGGGTTCAGGATTTCTGTCGGGTTTGGGGGTTGGGTTTAGTCAGGGCTTAGCATTTAGGGTTTAGCGTTTTTCGTCCGCTTGAGTTAAGGTTTAGGAATTAGGGCGTAAGTATGTGGTTACGATTCGGGCCTTACAGCTCAAAACCGGGGTATACTTATACTTATACGATAGTTATAATTATATCAGAAACTTTAGTTAAGGTGATACAACTACTAATTATTCCCACCATGCCATATACTTGCAGGGCTTTAGCTCACCGTGGCACCGTGGCCACCCTGAACCCTAAACCCTAAATCCTAAACCCTAAACCCTAAATCCTAAACCCTAAACCCTAAACCCTAAATCCCAAACCCTAAATCCTAAACCCTCCTAAATCCTAAACCTTTAAGGTTAAGGCCTCAGGGGTGTAGGGACCCTCTGGTGTGCAGGCAGTTGGCTCGGATAGGTCGTGGCGCCGTCGGTGCACCATTTGCGCCTGCAATCTGGGCAGTTCTCTAAATTAGGGTCCCTTTTTGGGGGGTGTTTTTGAATACAGGTGCCGTACTATACTGGGGAACCAAAAAGGGACCCTACTTTAGAGAACTACCCATATGGGGGTTTCCCAAAATAGGGGGACCCTAATATAGTACCTTAAATAGTAGGGGTCCCCCAATGCAGTACCTTAGAATAGTAGGGTCCTTTTTTTGTAAGGACCCCCAAAGAGATTCCCCTAAAATAGTACCTTCAATAGTAGGATCCTTATTTATAAGGGACCCCAAAAGAGGGTACCCCCCCATAGTTTCGGAAAACTCCTATCTGCAAGAAACCCTAAAGCCCTAAACCCTAAACTCCTAAACCCTCATCCCTAAACCTTGGGATGGGAGTTGCGGGCAGCAGCACAGGGTTCAGCCTTAGGGTCGGAAATATATGTTCAATTGGTTAAAGGAAGCTGCAGGTGGGGAGTTTAGGGTTTAGGATTTAGGGTTTGGGGGTTTAGGGGTTTGGGGAACTGCAGGTGGGGAGTTTAGGGTTTAGGATTTAGGGTTTGGGGGTTTAGGGGTTTGGGGAACTGCAGGTGGGGAGTTTAGGGTATATAGGGCTTCCATAAGGCTTCAAAAAGGTATATAGACCTTCTATAAGGCTCCTATAACGGTAACTACCCACCTGAAAATGCCCTAGAATTGGGTTTCGGTGTTTGCACTATACTTGCATAGGAACTCTGAGGAGAAAGGTCTCAGGTCCACCTCCTGACAAGGAACCACAATCCAGGGCATTGCTTGGTTTGGGTCCTCCGGCAGGGGTTTTGAACGGCCCGCTGTCAAAGCCGTGGAGCAAATCTTGAAGGTCTCTGGGTCACCGTCACGGAGCAATCGATACAGAGCAGCATCCGGCGCTGGGGCCTGCAGTTCGTCAATCCCTGAGGAGTGAGGAAAGGCCGCATGAGCACGCTCCACTCCCAATTCTCGCAGCCAGGATGGTTCGCCAGAAGTGGCCCACATATCACGGCAGTAGTGGGCCCTTGCAAGCACTTCCAGATCAACTGCGATCAAACCCTCAAAGCAGTGATGGAGGCCCACCGTAGACAGCAGAGGCATACTTAAGCAAGCTCAAAATCCGAGCCCCCTCTCCAGGGTGAGCAACCGCCTCCCTTCGAATAGCTACAGAGAGCGGAGTTGAATCCGGTAATCTCTCTTGGGCAGCTAGTTGTGGTGGCTTCCATGTTCTGGAAATGGAGTCTCGGGTGCTGGGTTCAGAGTGCAATCCCCGCCTTTGGGCTGGCTGCTGGCTATACCCCAAGGGCTAACAGGTTTACGGGAGCTTGCAGGACAGCTTGACAACACATCCAATCACATGACAGAGACAAGGGTATTCACTGTATAACCCTAAGGGTCCAAAGGACTTAATAATCATGTACTTGGGTTACGGATAGTAGTCAGAAGAGTATATGAGTTTAGGTACTTGGACCCTTACGGTAACTGGGTAACTAAGTTCAATAACGGGGGCAATGTTAATACAGACAAAAGCGATCGCCATCCGCGGTATCACCATCATAATCGTATTCCTTTGCATGCTCACAACAACAGCTCAACGATACGATGAACCAGTGATAAATTGAACCAACATAGCCCTTAACCCAAAACAGACTGTAATCCTTGCAAAATACCATAAAGCAACCCTTGTAGAGGCCATGGACATAACCCTTGTAGGAACCTGAAGGTAAGCCATGTACAAACGCGTAGATTAGCCCTTGAAGAAAGCCGTAAAGTGAGCTTGCAGAAACCCTAAACTCTAAACCACAAAGTAACCCTTCAAGACCCTAAACTCTAAACTCTAAACCACAAAGTAACCTTTCAAGAAACCCTAAACTCTAAACTCTAAACCTCAAGGTAGCCTTCAACAAAACACTAAACTCTAAACTCAAAGCCCCAAAAAGTAACCCTGCAAGAAAACCCTAAACTCTAAACTTTAAGCCACAAGAACTGACTCTTCAAGAAACCCTGACCCCCCAAAGTGAGCGGTCGTAAGCGTGGCTTCTGATGTTATGCCTACGGTGGAGAACCGAAGTCCCTCGAAGCCACCCCGTTTTGCTGAGGTTTAGGGTTTAGGCCTCCTAAGTGTGCTTCTGGTGGTTTAGGGTTTAGGGTTTAGGTGGTTTAGGGTTTAGAGCTTAGGGGTTTAGGTGGCTTAGAGGGTTTAGGGTTTAGGTGGTTTAGGGTTTAGGGTTTAGGGTTTAGGGTGTAATGGATGTTCTTCCGCTGGCCCGGTGCAGTGCATCTATTGTGGTGTCATCACGATGCCCAAGCATCAAATCCGGATACATCCGAACCACTAGAACCTGTCAATGTCACGAGAAACAATACTGCTGCATTGCTGTGCCCAGACAAATTCCCCCTCCTCAAGGACGACAAGAAGAAACCTCAGTCTCGTGCCGGATCATGGATCGGAAATGATCAGAACCGTGCCACACGTCTCTCAGCACACAAAGTTCAAGCGGGCAGTCATGTTCGTAAAGAGGTTGGAACAGAAGCATAATTTAAATGGCAAAACCCAAGCCCTCAGTCCTAAACCGTCCCTAAACTTTAAAGCCTGAAGCAAAAAAAGGAATGCTCAGAATGATGAGCATGAAGTCGAAAGATGGTATTCATAATGGTGCTAAGGCAACAGATTAGGGTCTAGGGTTTAGGATGGGTGTAGGGTTTAGGGTTTAGGGTTTGGCTTTTGTTTAGGGTTTGGGGCAACCGTGTCAAACACTCGTGTTGTCAGAGGAACGATGGGTAGTCATGAGCATTCCATGGCAAGTAAACGCAGTTCCAACAAGTGTGACAACCTTACTAAACACAATTCATCTATACAGCGACCCGATATCTGGAATCCGGAAACAGACTCCGGAGTTAACAGAGCACCGTTCTCATACCTGACAAACGATTCAAACATGAACTTACACACGATATTGAAACATGAGACACGATGGTCTACAAGTGGAGGTGCGGGCCAAGCAGGTAGTATACTGTTTTCACGCCCTCAACCCTCAACTCTAAGTGCCTAGCATGTGGCCGTGCATCAAGGACATAAATCAAAATCTGTTTAGCTTCGCTACTGCTGCTGCTACTACTACTACTCCTCCTCCTTCTGCGGCTACTCGCGTACGAACAGCATTAATTACGCAACAGCCTGCCAAGCCGCAAAGGAATGTGGACTGAGGACCTCACTCTGTCAATGCCTGAGAAACTAGGGAACCTGACATACGAAACTCGAAACTCCAGAAGATCAGGCAGGCAACAGCGTGAGCAAGGAGTAGTACCAGTACTCATCCATGAGCCAGAGAAGCACGCAGAAAAGCTGGAAGACGAAGAAGGGGGCCACTGCATGCTCCTCATTTCAGCGTGCACAAGACGCTGAAAGAGACGGATTGCTGCCACTACGCACTGACATCAGGACGTAATCTCTCCCTTTCGACAGAAGCAGCATCTCACTTTCGTGCCTGCTACTTCCCATAGCCTCCATACCTGAATTCTTATTGAAACAGCAAAGTCCTGGAAAAGCTCCCAAAAATCGGGCAGAGGGATGTCGTAAATGTTCTCGCCGTACTTTCTGGTGCGCTCATCCACCTCCCGAAATGAGACGGTAAACCCCACACTTCTCGGGATGTGTCGCATGACTGCGACATGGTTGGAAAGTCAGGCAGTAACGGAACCTTACCAATACTTGGGATGATTAATGTGTTTCTGGGTTATCTCGCTGTTTTGGGTTGAGGTAAGGCTCTGGTCCCTTATTATCCAACTTCAATTTGAAACCCAAGTGCTGGGCAGAGAATTTACTCTGACACAGTCATCCCTCTGGTGGCAGGCGCGTTCATGCACAAGTAGGCCCTCAGCCAAGATACACTTAGGGGTTTAGGGTTTAGGGTTTAGGGACCACACGCCCTGGGGATGTTATCGAACGTGCACACTCGCCACCAAAAGATAGGTCTACACACACACCTACTGAACGTATCGCACGCTGCCTACGTCGAGTTGCTCACGGCATACACGGTTGCCATGGCATCGTCTACATAAAACCCTAAACCCTAAAACCTAAACTCAACCCTAAACCCTAAACCCTAAACCCTAAACCCTAAACCCTAAACCCTAAACCCTAGCCTAAACCGTAAACACTAAACCCTAAACCCCAAAGACAAGCTGATGTCAAGTCGAAGTGGTCCCACGTCGGAGGGCCCTCGTGGATTCCCAAGCAGTATTCTAACCTTTTTAAATTTAGGGCTTAGGGTTTAGGGTTTAGAGCTCAGGGTTTAGGGTTTAGGATTTAGGGTTTAGGGGTTTAGGGGTTTGGGGAACTGCAGGTGGGGAGTTTAGGGTATATAGGGCTTCTATAAGGCTTCTATAAGGTATATAGACCTTCTATAAGGCTCCTCTGACGGTAACTACCCACCTGAAAATGTCCTAGACCTTTTGGTGGGAACTGCAACACAAGACAGTTTCTAGTGATTCAGACCGCTACATTGTTACATAGAACCCTGAATCCCAAACCCCAAAACCCAAATTAATGCAGGGACCTTAATAAGTTGACTAGGGTTTTGGGGTAAAACTTTTTTATAATTTTACTACGCACCCCCCCCCCCTCAAAAAAAAGAAAAAAGTATTGTCAATTATTTAGGGCCCTAGATTAATCTCTAGACCCTAAACCCTAAACCCTAAACCCCAACCTCCTTCGCAGTAAGTCCAGTGGAGCCAAGGTAGGACTCCAGGGGCGAAGTGATCTCGAAATGGAGCCTTGCTGTTGCGCAACGTTGCGAAGGTTTTTTTTATGGCCCTTTTCCGTCTGCATACACAGTAGAAGTCCTTTTCAGGATGAGCCAGCTTGGAGCCTCCAGGTGTGGGGAGAACGATAGAGTGAGTACGTTGCGAAGGTTTGGGGTTTAGGGCTTAGGGGCCTTAATAATTCGAATAGGGTTTTGGAGTTCCTCATTATGATTATATAGTAGAGTAGACCCCAAAACCCTTTCCTAATGATTCAGGCCATTATAGTACAGAGTTGGCCGTCGCAGTCTACAACATCCTCTAGGAGCAGTGCTCCATTGATTGGCAAGCTTAACACCCGAAATTCCAGCCCTCTTTTTGAACCCAGAAAAACCCTGAACCCTGCACTTAAAAACCCCTAAACACTAAACCCTAAATAAACCCTAAACCCCATGTATAGGGCTAAGAGTTTTGAAGTTGAAGGTCTTCGCTTTGGACTTTACACCGAAGAAGAGGCCACGGTTTACTCGTTCCCTGTTGGGACATACTAAAAATGATCATTTTAATCGGGTTTTTTCTGTAACAAGAATGTAAAACTGTATCAAGCAAGGACCCAGTTTAGGGTTTAGGGTTGTTCGGGGTGTACGGGACGGAGGGATGCCCTGAACAAAGGGGCCTTAACGGATAGAATCGGGTTAGGGGTTTAGGGTTTGGGGGTTTCGGGGCTTAGGGGTTAGGGGTTTAGGGGCTTAGGGGTTTAGGGGCTTAGGGGTTTAGGGATTTAGGGGTTTAGGGGTTTAGGGTTTAGGGGTTTTGGGGCTTAGGGCTTACGGCTCAGGGTTTTATGTTAGAGTAGAGGTTTTCGGGAAACCCCTTCGAAAAAAATATATGTATATGTATGTGTATATATATATAAACACTGTGCACGCCCCTACATTACCCGTAAACCCTCACAGGTCACCACGTGCAGTCATGACATGGCTTTGTTGGCGACCCGGTACAGCGGCGGGTTTGCTGACCATAGAGGTCATAAGAATTACCCTCTTACCCACAGTCTACATCAAAAGGCTCTTTGTTTGTTGAAACTCCCACATTGACATGGCGCGGCGTCTTCCCTGCAATGCTTCCGGCGGCGGCATGCAACATGCGAAACGCACCCAAAACCCTAAACCCCAAACCCTAAACCCTGAACCCTAAGCCCTAAACCCTAAGCCCTAAACCCTGAACCCTGAACCCTAAGCCCTAATCCCTAAACCTGAACCCTAAGCCATAAGCCCTAAACCCTGAACCCTGAGCCCTCAGCCCCAAACCCTAAGCCCTCAGCCCCAAACCCTAAGCACTCAGCCCCAAACCCTAAGCCCTCAGCCCCAAACCCTAAGCCCCAAACAAAGTCCAAGCCTGAAACTCCCCTGGGCCAAGGCGCCGCTCAAACTTGCCCGTGGTGCTGTTGTAAACGAACTTTTTCTTCAGGTAGTTGATGGACTTCTGACCATCTTCCTGAACAACGATAATAATTATAGGGTGTCGGGTATGGACTTCTGACCATCTGCCTGAAAAGAAATAAGTTGAAGGGTTTAGGGGTTCAGGGTTTAGGGTTTAACATAGTTGATGGACTTCTTACCAGCTTCCTGGAAAAAAAACATAAAATAATAGGGTGTCGGGTCATCCTGTGGATAGGGGCCTCCAGGAATTAGAATTGGGCTCCCTGATAGTCCCTATAATCATGTAGGTAGTTACTGCCATCTTAATATGGGTAGTTCTCTAAATTAGGGTCCCTTTTAGGGACCTTTTTATAAGGGTGCCGTACTATATTGGGGACCTATACAGGGACCCTCATTTAGAGAACTCCCCATGTAGCTCTTCCTACAGTCTCCTCTAGGTTTGCCTAGCAGCACGTAGTCACTGCCATCTTAATATAGCTCTTCCCCTAAACCCTAAACCCTAAACCCGTAAACCCTAACCTCTCCCTACAGTCTCCTCTCGGCTTGTGGCCCATGTTGCCTGGATCAGCGGTACCAGGGCGACTCGGGTATCGTTGGCATGGCCCTCGCGCGGCAAGGGCACCACCTCCGTCGCTTCGGGGTGAAGGGGTCAGGACCGACAATGAAAAAAAAAACTACCAGAACACACCAGAACCTACTTTTTTGTAGGGTCCCTATACATCCCATATTAGGGTTTGTAATAAGAACCTACAAGGAAGTGGGTTCTGGCAGGTTCAGGTAGGAGTTAGTATTAGGGGGACCCTCGGGGATATAGACCCTCTCAACAAGGTCTCTTTTAAGAGCCTTTTAAGAGGTCTCCCTAATGCTACCTAGGAATAACCACATCATGCTGCACTCCTGGTCAGAAGCCTAGATCCCCACCACAGCGAGGCCAAGACATACTAATGCTTGGGCAGTTCTCGAAAGTAGGGTCTCCTTTAGGGCGCTGTTTATAAGGGTGCCGCACTATATTGGGGACCAAGAAAAGGGACGCTACTTTCGAGAATTGCCCATTTACTGATGATTCAGGCCCCGATGTCAGGCGTGAAATGATGGTGACTTGGCATGACGAGACTTTGCTATCGGACTACGACAATAGAATAGACTGCCTTCCGGCGACAGAACATATTGTCGTGGCAGTCGGCGATTTGTTGACAGCAGTTGCTTAGTTGTGTCTCAAGGTCTTATTACACTGCGATGTTCGTTTGCCAGGGTCGTATCAGGAAGCCACTGCAAGAATTGTTTGTGGACAATTGCAGCAGCAGAAGAATACAAACAGTTTCCCTTTTCTCTTTTTCAACTAAACAGGAACATGAACGAAAACTGATGCATAGACCGAAGTGAGCATGCAAAGGTTACTAGCATATTGTACGACAGCAGCAGCACTGGAGTTCAGGGACAGGTACGCGCAGACCACATACGCAGATGTTTCAGAAGTAGGCAGCACTGTTAGACAAACAGTGTTTGTAACCATGTGTGCAACTTCACACTTGTGTATATATATATATACACACACACATACGCATACGTATACTACAGCACTGTTGCTACTGTACACAGAGAGAGAGAGAGAGAGAGAGCGAGAGAAACAAAAAAGACGGGAATAGCTTGAATGTTCACAGCGGAGCTGCCATTTGGACACGTTCTTCTGTCTTCAGCACCCGTGTATAAAGTGTCTGAGGCAGGACTAACGAGATGTGCTTCAAAAGCATGGTTTGAAGGCCTAAATGTCTAGCCGTCAACATCGAGGAATTTTCTCTGTGATTAGAGTGGAATGTGTAGAAGATAACAGCTGGGACTAAGGGTTTAGGGTTTACATAGGCTGAGGAAGATCACTCCCTAGTTGTAACATGGAGGCCTTAGTGATTTGAATAAGATATATATATATATAGAAATATATACACACACACATTCGTATTAGTAGAAATTACCATATGAAACTCTGAAGAATGATAGAGGTATTTCTGCGGGCTTCTATAATATAGCTGGTGCCTTGACGTGCGTGGCCTTGTCGATGGACGGCTGGCGATAGAAACCTGGTCCCGCCCCGGAGTGACTATGCCCGGTTTAGGGTTTAGGGTTTAGGGTCCCTGTTTGGGGATCTTTTTAACACGAAGGGTCCCCATTTTGGGTATCCTCGTCATGTTCTCTCATTTAGGACTCTCTGCTCTGTTACGATCTGCCCGTTTTCGAACTCCCAGATCCATCTGAGGTTGATACCATGGGCTGATTCACTTTGGGATCCTCGTATACAGACTGTATGGGTAGTTCTCTACATTCGGGTCCCTTTTTAGGTCCCCAATATAGTACGGCACCCTTATAAAAAGGACCCCCAAAGGGGACACTACTTTAGAGAACTACCCAAAGGTACCCTATCCGATCTAGAATCCCCATAAAAAAAAAGGCCTGAGGGCGCATGTTAGGGGCTCACTAACCCCTAAACCCCTAACCCCCTGAACCCGAAACCCCGAAACCCCCTAACCCCTAAACCCCTAAGCCCCTACACCCTTAACCCCTAAACCTTAACCCTACACCCCTCACCCCTACAGCCGAAACAGCGAATCCCTAAACCTTAAACCCCTAAACCCTAAACCCCGAAACCCTAACCCTAAACCCTAAACCCCTAAACCCTAACCCTACACCCTCCTTTCCAGCCACGCGACGGACCCGACAGCGCACCTCTACTGACCACTGGGTCGCCAAGAAGAGCCTGGGTGTCTTGCGTTTCTTCATGGGTTCCTTTATGGGTTCCTTGGAAAGGGTGTAGGGTTTAGGGGTTGTGGGCTGTAGAGTTTCGGGATTTAGGGGTCCAGGTGTTCGGGGTAGGGCTTCAGCACTTAGGGTTTTGAAGGCTGCAGCACTTCCAAAGCATAGGGCCTTTGACTTTGAGAGAGGCATACGATACAGTTTAAACAGTTTGACAATGGCCTAAACCCTAAACCCTAAACCCTGAACCCTAAACCCTAAACCGTAAAGCATGCAGAGCGGACCAGGGCAGCGCTGAGCCAAGCCAACGCAAGGGCAGGATCGCTCCCCAATTCAGTTTAGGGTTTAGGGTTTAGGGTTTAGGGTTTAGGGTTTAGGGGTTTAGCGTTCGGTTTGGGCCTATTGTACGGGATTGGTGTTCTGCAATGCTCCTGAATACTAAACAAGGCTCGCGGACACATGTTTTGCCGAATGCTTTCGGCGGTGGTTCTCGTTCTGAGGGTCTGGAAGGGTGGATTTATAGCTCCAAACCCTAAACCCTAAACCCAAAACCCTAAACCCTGAACCCCAAACCCTAAACCCAGTTGGTTGAGAAATGGTGCCAAACCGCAGCAGCGGGGGCAAGAGTGCAAGGTCTGGGGTCAGCAAGTGCCCACTCTTTAGGGGTACTAGAAGGGTACCAAAGAGGGTGCCTTCTAAGCCTTGGTACCAAAGTTTGCTATAAGGGTACTTCTTAACGATTTAGGGTCTAGGGTTTAATAATAATACTAATATTATTTTAAGGTGTGTGTGTGTATATATATATATATATGTTTAAGGGGTGTGTGTGTGTATATATATATATATCTTTGTTTTGTTTATTTGTTTATTTATTCAACTATTTATGTATTTATGTATTTATGTGCTTGTTTGATTGTTTGTTTGTTCATATATTTGTTGATCTGTTCATTGCCTTTGCACGTGATGCACACATGTATATACATATATATATATACATATGTACATACAGATGTGTGTGCATGTGTGCGTACTGGTGTATTTCATACACCCTGTTTCATTAAAGTTGACGGTGTTGTTGCGAGTCGTCACGCAGTGGTGTGAGCATTTCTTGTTATGGCAGTGGCCCATGCAACGTAGACAGTACCCAAACCCTAATAATAAGAATAATAACCATAATAATAATAATAAGGAGAAGAAGACTATATATATATATACACACATGTATACATATATAGACATATATCTATATATAGACATATACCTATATATGCGTTCTTGTATAAGTCGGCATCTATATGCACATGAATATGTACACATATAGATGTATTCACGCATGTATTTAGACATCTGTCTACACATAGACAGCATGGTGCACGCACACCCGCTGCCTCCCTAAACCCTAAGCCCTTAAAGCGTGCAGGAGGTCGAAGGCTACAGCTTCTGAACCACAGGAACCTGAAAAAGGTTGCTATAAAGGGCTTTATAAGGGTTAGGGTGTAGGGTATGAGAACCTGAATAAGAAACCTGAAGGCGTTTAGGGTTTAGGGGTTTAGGGTTGAGGGTTATAGGAGCCTGATTAAGAAACCTAGGGTCTGTATTGGTTTCTTTTTGATATTGTGGACGTTCATACTTTTGGGCTATAGTACTAGGGTTTCTTTTTCAGAAACCTGCATTACCACACAATCGGAAACGCATTTCGAACAGCAGAGCTGGGCTTTGGTTTCAGGGACTTATGACTGGTGATTGCCACGGTTTAGGGTTTAGGGGTTTAGGGTTTAGGGTGTAGGGTTTAGGGTTTGGGGTTTAGGGTTTAGGGTCATGGGCTTTTGAGTGCATCCCACGGCACATTACATGCAGCGCGACCGGGAGCAAGAAAAGCAGGAAGTGGTCTGCAAGTACTTCTCCACGATTCCTGCAGCTGGCGTTACCTCCGCCCTTAACCCCTAAACCAACGCCCCACGAGCCCTGAACCCTAAGGGGCACACGGGCATATCCAACACAATGGTTCCTACAAGCGAACTATAAGGGTTCCTTTTGTCGGGGTACTCTAAGTAGGGTACTTTTTGTGGGTATTCTAAGTAGGGTACTACATATTACGCATAAGGTTTCCTGCATAATAACCTGTTGGTCTTCTCATTCAAACCCACGAGGTTGCCGCAAGTGCATATGTGCTCTCGCGCTCTCTCTCTCTCTCTCTCTCTCTCTCTCTTTTTGCATGTCCAAGTCTGGGCAACGCATGCAATGCAGTATGCCGTTTTTGTGCGTCTGTCTGGATCTGGCATGTGTATGAGTGTCCCTCCACGTGTGTATGCAGGGATGCTTATCACAGACGGGGAGAAAGAGACTGAAGTGCATGATGGCAACCGACACTGTGACCAGGGGATAACAGGGGCTGTGACGCTTTGCAAAGTCCAGAACCCCAAACCCTGCACCCCAAACCGTAGAATGTCTGAAAACGATTCCTACGCTCGGGCCCGACAGGGCTTTGCATGTCGCTCAAGAAGCGGGCAGAAAAAACGCAATCGGGTGTTGATTGCGTGTACCTGATCGCCTCAGCCTCCGTTCTTTGGCGACTTACTACACACCCTAAACCGGGTGCACACGTCCTAAACCCTAAAACCCTGGACCCTCATTACCGGACTTAAGCAGCTCTCTATGACCAGGTTCATGGCCTTTTGGGGCTGAGCCCCTGTTGGAATCCTCCCTCCGTAATAATTTTCAAGCAGTCAAAACTTCTCCTCGCTTATTCCAAACAGAATGAAAATAAACCGGGGGACCTCTCACAAGAGCTATACACGCTCAGTTTTCCAGCCCACTGCGGAGGTTTCTGGGGTGTGGAAACTTACCCGAAACCCTATAAACCCTATAAACCCTAAACCCTAAACCCTAAACCCTAAACCCTAAACCCTAAACCCTAAACCCTCAACCCTAAACCCTAAACCCTAAACTCTGTAGACCTCAGGTCGGAGGGCCTTGTGGCCTAAAAAGTAGGGCGTGCTCACTGACTCTTGGCTTCAAGCCCCTGGGAAAGTTAGGGGGTTTAGGGTTTAGGGTTTAGGTTTTTGGGCTCGGAAAACGCGCCATGAAGAGCCCCAAGGCCAAACAAAACAAAGGTAAGGCTGCTGGCTATAGCTAAGTGCCTCCACGGCCTGAACATTCCTGCTGAAAGCTAGCGCAGAGACTGATGCCGAATCCGGCAAGCACCCTGCGAAGTGCCCGGACAACGTGCCAATGATCCGCTTATGAAGATTCAGCGGTTTCACGCGCAGATATGCCGACAGCGTCGATGGATTTGCATGTCACGTGCTTGTCGTGAAAAATTTCACGTGGTCCTTCGTAAAAAATGTCACGTCGACGTGGCTCCCAGTAACACGTGCCGTTATAACACATTGCATGCCGTGACAACCTACCTAGACCTACCCTGACTGCAGCTTCCGTCTTATGGCCAAAGCGTCGCCACAACTGCTGCCCAGACTGCCAGAGTGGCGCCATAAGCTCCGCTGAACCTTGAGGGTTTTCAGGGTTCAGGGGACCTCAGTTCGGGTGTAATTTGGGTGTTTCAGCGTTTGCTCGCTGTCGAGTCTTCTTAGCTTAGGGGCTGAGTAGCCCAAAAAAGGTTAACCTTTCAACTATGGTAGGATCATATAAGCCCCAAAAGGTGAAAGGTTACCTACTCAGCTACTAAGTTGGGGATTGGACGAAGCATTCGAAGGGCGGCTTTGCGAGATTCCGGACTGATTGAGGAAGCTGGGGAGGGTCGACCCTGGACCTTCGACCCTAAAGCCAAAGCCCTATTATAAACCCTAAACCATAAACGCTAAGCCCTATTATAAGCCCTAAACCCTAAACCCTAAGCCCTATTATAAGCCCCAAACCCTAAACCCTAAGCCCTGTGATAAACCCTAAGCCCTAAGCCATGTTATAATCCTTAAACCCTACTAAAAATCCAGAACCCCCAGTCCAAGTAGACGATTTATTTCGCGAGCGCGATTGCTCGGTTCGACGATCTAGAACGGCTCGAAGGCTGTTTATTACAAAGGCTTAATGGAGGGTTTACAGGTACTTTGAAAACCTGGAAAAATGCAGGGGAACGTGATAAAAGCTGCTTTAAACCGAGTTTCAAGGAGGCTTATTTCCAAACATAGTTTTTCAAAAGGTTGAAAAAGTACCCTAAACCCTAAACCCAAAGCCCTAAGCCCTAAAACCTAAACCCTAAACCCAAAACCCTAAAACCTGAACCCGAAACCCAAAGCCCTAAAACCTAAACCCTAAACCTCAAACCTAAACCCTAAAGCCTAAACCCTATAAGCCCTACACCCTAAAACCTCAACCCTAACCCTGTAAGCCCTAAGACCTAAAACCTCAACCCTAAACCCTAAACCCTAAACCCTAGAACCCCTAAACCCGAAACCCTAAGCCCTAAAACCTCAACCGTAAACCCTAAAGCCTAAACCCTAAAACCTAAACCCTAAACCCTAGAAGCCCTAAACCCTATACACCCTAAACCCGAAACCCTAATCCCTAAGAACCTAAGTCCGAAACCCTAAGCCCTAAAACCCCCCTCCCCTAGGGTTTAGGGTTTAGGGTTTAGGGTTTAGGGTTTAGGGTTTAATCCTGCAAGGGAGGTGCGGTATCGCATCGTACGTCCACCGCGGGGGCCGGCTGCAGTAGCTCTCGAAGCGGTATCCTTAGGGTTTGCATCTAGGGTTTAGGGTTGAGGGGTTTAGGGGTGTAGGGGTGTAGGGGTTTAGGGATTTAGGGATTAGTTGCTGAGTTCAGAAGCACAAAAAAGTGTACACTTTCAGTTCTACAAGGGATCATACTATCCCCAAAACTTTAAAGTGCGCTCATTCATCTACTTAGACGGGTTTAGGGTTCGGGGATCTTTGCTTCGGTTTGGAGCGTAAGCATTTGGGTTTTTGGCTTACAGGGGCTAGGGGGCTTAGGAGCTGAAAGTTTATGAGTTTATGGTTGATTAGTGCCTGCACAGGTGCCAGTAACCACCCTAAACCTCTCTGAACCCTAAACCACGGTTTAGGGTCTAGGGTTGGCCCTAAACAAACCCAAAACCCTAAAACCCCAAAACCCTAAACCCTTTGATATCTGCCTGCGAGGATCGCGACTTCTCCTCACCCGGACTCTCCGGCATCAGAGATCTCTTCGCATGCCAAGGGCGCTGCGAACGCCGGCGCCGAAGTGAGAAGAACAAAAGTCAGAGCTGCTCTTGTTCTTAGCCGTCTAGATAGTATCACAACGCAACACAGAGGCACGTGAGCTACACCTCAAAAACTACAAGGTCTGAGTTTGTAAACCCCTAAACCCTAAACCCTAAACCCTAAACCCCTCAACCCTAAACCCTAAACCCCTGAACCCAAAAGCTCTAAACCTTGAGGACCTGTGACTCCAACTTTAGAGGGTTTAGGGTTTAGGGTTTAGGGTTTAGGGTTTAGGGGTTTAGGGGTTTAGGGGTTTATATAGGGGTTTAGGGGTTTAGGGTTTAGGGTGTCATAACCCTAAGGATCTAAGTACTCCCTATTCTAGGACAAAGCCATATATATGGGACTACTTGGACCCTTAGGGTAAGGGCTTCGGGCTTAGGGTTAAGGGTGCCAGACTCTATGATCATTCGGCTTTGCTCGAAGAATTCTTACGAATTGGGCTGCAAGCCTGAAGCCTAATGGGTTTAGGGTTTAGGGTTTAGGGTTTAGGCACCTTAATCTTTGAGATGGCTCAGACAACAACTGGCTACGGCTAGGGGTGTCTAGACGGCAAGGCGGCATTTGTGCTGAGGGCCAGCGACGCGAAGCTGTGCTTGCTCGGGCTTCCCGCTTCGGAATCCTTGAACATGAACATTCATATCATCGGAGAGCTGTGCGCGCTCATAAACCCTAAACCCCCCTAAACCCTTAACCCTAAACCCTAAACCCCTAAACCCTAAACCCTAAACCCTAAAACCCTAAACCCTAAACCCTAAAACCCTAAACCCTAAACCCTTAAGCCTCAATGTCCTCTGAACCCGGAGCTCTGAACTCGAAACGGTCGCGTCGGACATAGGTTTAGGGTTTAGGGTTTGGGGTTGGCATTCACGTCTGTACACATGGGAGTTTCCGAAAATAAGGGGTACCTTATTTTGGGGTCCTTATAATAAGGATCCTACTATTTAGGGTGCTATATTTGGGTCCCCTATTTTCGGAAACCGCCACATCGACACAGATTGCGCAGATCCCTAAGCACAGCCAGCCGCTCCTATCATCGAAGTCTGCCATTGGAGGAACCAGCCAGCAAGCAAGCCACGCGCACACAAGCTCACTGCCCACAGTGATGTGATGAAGCAAAAGCAAAACTTGGTATGGAACATCAAACGAAAGCTGCAAGCTGTAGCCCGTGGATATCCTGGACAGTGTTGATAGCAGCAGGATCGGCAAGCAAACACTAAACCCTATAAAGCCTAAACCCTGAACCGTCGGCAAGCAAAAGCCGTTGCATTGGGAGAGACGCAGCTGTGGCAGACTACAGCCCGGATAGCAGCTGACCGGAACAAAGGAAGGGACAAGGGTTTAGGGTTTAGGATGAAGTAGTGCCCGTCTGAGCATTGCCCTGCCAGCCGCTTTTGTTTCAGAATAAAAACAGCGTGAACGACACCCTACTAATTTGAGCCCATAAACCATAAACCCCTACTTAAGGGTCCAAAGAAGGTCCTGGTAGGTGCAAGGTCCTGCTGCTGGTGCAGAGACTCGAGACGTCGAGATGTGTCATCGTGGTCAAGGTGATAATCGGAAAAAGGGGGAGTATGGCTGGTAAAGCTGGTCATGAAATCGAAAAGGCTATCTAGGGAGTGATAAGGATGAGCCAATGAACATCACGAGGCTGACGAATGTGGAGATGCGCAGGGAGATGGTCATGGCGTACGACGAACCAAGAATACCTGTGAACGTATGGGGCTTCGATGCTCAGCAGCGTTGACAGCTCCGGCAATGGCCATGCTGGCAAATGTAGGGGCTAAGGTTTAGGGTTTAGGGTTTATTGCTGACTCGTACAAAGACCAATGGGTATTGTTACAAATTCTTAAGCCCACTGTAGTATCTGAGCTGCGAAGGAACTGCACAGACGACTTGTTCACATTGGCAAATATCTTCGTCTAGGTTCCCCATTAGAGCCCAAATAGTCAAGGGTACTCTTTTCCCTGCTGTTTGGATTTGATCCCGGAACCCAAGAAGAAAACCCGCAAAAGCCTAGTAGTTGGCACATGAAGCATTCCTGCACTTGAAAAGGAGGCTACCCCAAGAGTCCCCCCAAACCCCGCAACTACGGCCTAAAATATATATTCTAAATCAGTAGGGTCTAGGGTTTAGGGTATCCGGAACTCCCACACTAGTATTGGTCAGTATTTAGGCCCCTATGTTACCTCGCTGTTGGGCCCTAAACCCTAAACCCTAAACCCTAAAGCCCTAAACCGTCGAGGCCCTGCAGCAGCCGAGAGCCATGCGCGGATGTGACCCTCTCCGTCCATGCCCATGGCGCATTGCTCCACCTCCGTTTGAAGCTGCTTAAAAAATGGGTAGTAGTATTCCTTTGCAATCCCTAAACATAAGGGCTTCGGGTTTGGGGTTAATTAGCATCTGAAAACTGTCCTTGCCATTGTTGATAACACTCTTGGGTCGAAGAAGAACGCAGCTAGTCTTCAACGGTTGGCAGATGGGCACCCTAAACCCTAAACCCTACAGCTTTTC